AACACGTAGATACAATGTTACCTCCCAGAAAAAAAAGAAACATTTTCTCAGTTATTTGTATCTAATCCTATTTAAAGTGAAAATATTCTCTTAAATCTCATTATAATTCAGTATTTAATATGTCTCTGAAAATAATAATCCTAAAGGTTTTAGATAGGAATTAGTCTTAAGTTAAACAGCACGTGGTAAATTATTCACAGCATTGTTTTAATATCTGAAATAAATATTTTGACTACAGGTTTTAGATTTTTCCCGAAAATAATCCTTATGTAAAAGTTCGGGCTTTGTACGGTACGACGCAAGTTTATGAAGCTATATTACAAACAGTTCTACTGATTTTCTTAGTTTTACTTTCTACTTAAGGACTTCGGAAAATGAAAATGATTTATACTAATATTTTAATTATTATAGAATTAAGAACATTATTAAATATTTTAACATTTTAATCTAATGATGAATTAAGTTTAAGTAACGACCACCAGCAACAAAATATTTTTGAGTTCGAACTTTCATAATCTCTTTAACATGATAATAAACCATAGTTTTGTTTTAACGTTACGCACATCATATTTCTTTATAGCTTACAACAAAAAGTCTATAATCGAGAATCAAACGTTATCATGAATTGCTGCAGAAAACAGATAACGCTTTCTGACTTAAAACATGGAAAATTCTACAGGTAAGTACCAGTTCCTTTATCATCTTTCCATTTCTTGTTTTTCTGGACAACAACAACAAAAAAAGCATTTACAAGAATAACTCAAAACTGATTCTTTTTTTATTTCTTATATTCGCGCAAAAACTATAAAAGGGCCATCTGCTTTTGTTTGTTTGTAGTTAAGCACAAAGCTATACAATGGGCTATCTATGTTGTGCCCACTACAGGAGTCGAAACCCGTTTTTTCGCGTTATAAGTCTTCAAACTTACCGCTGAGTCACTGGGGGAGAGCAGTTTGTCAAAATAGGCTATCGGCTTCTGTCCTGATATATTTTAGCGATGTAAGTCTGTGAAATTACCGCTGACCCACTTATTTTGAAGTGATAGACTATAGGGAAAGCAGCTAGTCAACAGCACTCGCCTCTAACAGTTTGTTTTGTTTATTTGAATTTCGCGCAAAGCTACACGAGGGCTATCTGCGCTAGCCGTCCCTAATTTAGCAAGAGGGAAGGCAGTTAGTCATCACCACCCACCGCCGCTAACTCTTGGGCTACTCTTTTACCAACGAATAGTGGGATTGACCGTCACATTATAACGCCCTCACAGCTGAAAGGGCGAGCATGTTTGGTGTGACGGGGATTCGAACCCGCAACCCTCAGATTGCGAGTCGAGTGCTTTACCACTTGGCCATCCTGGGCCTAATCTAACTGAAACGTGGTATTTGGTTGTCATTCATATAAGGAGACATCTACGAAGGTCGATTTTGCTGAAACGGGACTCGAACCATGGACTATCGGATCCACAGTCCGACAGACTAACCAGTAGGTTACACATGACCATCAAAACGACTCTAAATCAGATATACACCAATTTAGTAAGCTGATATGGTTGATTTATTCTATGTAAGAAGAGGACATCGAGACACAGTAGGATAAATATGTCCTAAAACCCATAAAGACGAACAAGGTACGTTATATTTATAGGTTTATATATTCATATAAACTATTTGTAAAAAAATGTACAAGGACAGAACTAATAACAAATGCAAAATTATAAGTACTACCAAACATAAGAAATTATTATTTTTTAGCTCAAAGCCACACAATGAGCTATATGAGCTTTGTCCACCGCGAGGAATCAAACCCTGAACCTTGGAAGTTCGTAAACTTGTCGCTGACATCTCGGGAAGCATAGTGCCATGTTATAGATGGATAAGGCAATGATAGTTACAACTGGTGGAAAAAGAAAGTCGCACTAATAAGGACGGCCCAGCATGGCCAGGTGGTTAGGGTGCTCGACTCGCAATCTGTGAATCATGGGTTCGAATCTCCGTCACACCAAACATGCTCGCCCTTTCAGCTGGGGGCGTTATAATGTGACGGTCAATCCCATTATTCGTTGGTAAAAGAGTAGCCCAAGAGTTGGCGGTGGGTGGCGATGACTAGCTGCCTTCTCTCTAGTCTTACACTGCTAAATTAGGGACGGATTGGGCAGATAGCTTTGCGCGAAATCCATAAAAACAAACTAATAAAGAATAAATTTCATGTTTATTTATCTTTGATGTTAACGTTATGAAACAAATTACTTTACTATGACCCCCATCTTAAAATGGATTTAATATGGCTTGCAATGAAAAATATGACTTTAGTTGGATGTTTGGATTTTAGTTTAAACACCTACCTGTTTCAATTTCTATTCTTTATGTTGGAGAACATATATTTCATCTGATTTGAGAGAATTGATTAAGAAATATCGAACATTTGTCTTGAAGAAAAGATTATTCATCAGTTTCTTGAAGATAATGGTATCCAATCATAATAATACACCAATCAAACACTGTAGTATTTGTTTAGGATCACTATCTATATAATCAATTCATTTATTTAAAATACTATAAAAATAGACACAAAAACGTACGAATAAACATTCAATATAATATTATATATGTTAAAGAATTACGATCAATCACTGGGAGGTTGTGGAACGAAATTCGCAGTAATAACTTGGTCTATATATTTATTATCAGCTGTATGACTACAATAGTAATTTGGTCTCACAGCTATCACAATGGCTGGTTTTTTGTTTAATGATACGAGTTGGTTTATCTATAACAAAAATAAAATACCGTGATAAACATGCAATCTATTGTACTCTTGACCTACAAACAAACATAACATTTGTAGTAAAACTCTACGTTACTAAAAGATCTTTGTTGATGTTCGTACCAACATCTAATAAATATGCTACAAACTTTTAAATACATTTTTCACAAAGTAACACGGATTATTTTCTACAGGGCGGAAATACAATTCTTATTATAGCTACCTTAAGGGCATTTGTTATGTGACACATTATATTACGCTATATTTACATAATGATAGATAGAAACATCTGTTATAGGCAATCATCACTTCACCAGAAAGAAGTTGAAAGTACACAACTGTTATGAAAATTATATATACATCTTTAAATACATCACAATATATTTTAAAGTTACACTCTACTAGATCACAAGAACAACAAAAATATCTATTACTAGGATAAAATGTCATAGAAGGTGGTAATGTAACTTCTCACCAGTTTTTTTTTTTGTAGCTCAGATTATGAATTGTTATGCTGTGAACAGTGGGTTAGGATCGAATTTGCAACCCGCATTAATATTTTTTCTAAAATAATCAAGAACGGTTAAATGCTTAAAGGATTCGCAGTGGCTGAAAAGGGTGTTGAAAGAAAATAAAACTTACTGTGCTGTTTCATTGAGTTAACTCGGCACCCGACAATCAGTCAGAGTTGTTGAGGTAATTCAAACACTGATATACAAAGTGTGTGTGCGGCAAATTACGTGAGCCAAAAAAAACAAACAAATAAAATATAATTAACTTAGGAAATTACATTTACTGATGAAAAGTAGATGATGCTGAGTCAACTCAGCAAAATTGTGAAGTAATAAAACCATTTAAAAATTTTTTAACCCTGTTTTTGGCTCATTTAAAACTCTTTTAAACCTATTATGCAGGGTATCTTTTATATATTTAATAATGATGCATTTTTATGAATACTTTTACACATAAGATAGATGCTCCAAAAGACAATGAGTGTATACTTGCTAATCCGTTTTTGTAGTGACAAGATTAAAGTTTCAGGTTCTAACGAATGCGATTTTAAATCGTTTATTAGAGCCGAGCCCTAAGTTTAGTCATTTCCTTCAAAACAGTACAGTAAACTATACGAACAATTACTATTTTGTGTAGAATTTTACTTCATGAAAACATAATTATATGGGCTAAGCGTAGCCCAATGATTAGCTCTCCGTAATGTGGATCTTAGATGAGATTCTGTTATTCACTCCTAGTTACCAAAAATCGTATTCCGCAACTTTTGGGTCGTGGGTGCATTATAAGAATAACGATCAAATCCCACCATTCGATCTGTCAAGTGTAGCCCTAGAGTTGGCGGTGGATATTGCTCACTAGCAGCTTTCTCTCTTGTCTATCACTTCAAAATTATTAACGGTTACTGCAAATATCCCTCTTGTAGCTTTACGCGAAATTCAAGAAACACGCAAACTTTTAATAAAGTATCTTATGTTAGATTTGTTGTATACAAAACACATAATCATCATTTTAAATATAAAAATACCATGCTAAATAAATCAACAGAATTTAAATAGAGGCTAAAAACAGGGTTAGAAATATTACTTCAAGATGTGACTGAGTTAGCTCAATATCACGTATAGTGAAACATAAGCTGTGTCGTTTTGGACCTTCCATACTCGAAATTATTTTAGGTAAAGGCTGTGACTGTTTGATTCCCTGCTTTACTAAGTAGTACCATTTAAAAACATTATTGATTATTCTCTATCAATGTACGCTATAAATATGTGTGTTTGCTTTGTCTTTACGATTATCAGGTTTTCTGTTTCCAAATGTTTTGCTAAAACAAAAACTTGGCTGATACAGATAATCCATTAGTATAATGGTCATTAGTCTAGACTAATTAAAAAAGTACCTTATTAGCCGTGACAATGGGATTAATCCTTTAGTTTAGTCGATAATAAATTAGCATTCAATTATAAAAAAATAACATAACGTGCCAGACTCATGAGCAAATCTTGATTCTAAGAGGGATTGTGTCATACGGGTACTTTAGACTAATTAAAAATGGCCTAGTACAGCGGGTTAAACTTTTATCTCAGATGGTTGGACTTGGGACTAAGTGCCGGAAGGTAAATGTGTTGTGAAATGATTTTCGTGATATAATCGAATATAGTTATTATTCGAACTAATATTCTTAATGATTATTCATAAAAACAAAAACAAAATAAATCGAAGTTTGCAGTTTTTTAAGTGTACAAATACGATAATTAGGACTTATCATTACAAACTTTTGTTAATTTCGAAGCAGGATATATCTTCAGTGATATTCTAATTGCATTGTTTTATGCACAGCGAATCATTTGTTTTAACTTAAGAATATATTGAATAAACTATAACTGTTGCATTAAAAAGGTTTACTAACGGAAACAACAATGAGACAGAAATCTTAATTTATTTTGTGTTAGTCTGCACAATTTTAATCTTGATCGAACCCAGAATTCCTCGTAAATGTAAGATCATGTGGCAGCTACCAAGCAAGGTTTTTTAAAGCAATCTGTAAAAAACGTAGATTTGGTTGAACTTAAACGAATCTGATATGAGTGTTAACTAATCACACATCATTTATCGGACAGTTGACCAATCACACATCGTCTATCGGACCGTTAGTTTTCATATTTCTTAATGGAATAGGCCGGGAAATGGTAGATTTCCTCAAAAGCGTTTTCCTTGTGAGGGATCTCAACCTTGATGCTGTACCCTCCACAGAACTTCTACCAGGACATTTCTGATCTGTAGTCTTTCGGCAACAACACAAGACCTTACGAAAATACCGTTTAAATCTGGAAATAAAAAATGGGTTTTATTAATAATTTCAATGCGAAAGTCGTTGATAAATTCTGATTCATAAAACTAGTGCCTGGAGGAATTAATTTTTAAGGCTAATCATTTTAGAGCATGTAAATAATATCCTTACAAAGGAAGCCAATATTTTACTACTATTTGAACTCTTAGAAAAAGCTCTGCTTTTTTTGAGGTTGGATCGAAGAGTTCAAGGATCAGAAAGGAGCTTTTAAAGGCTACTGTAATTAAAAATGTTAGTAACACGTTGAATAGCAATATATTTGTTGTTACATTTATCAGTTTCCTTAATATAATCTAAGCTAAATATTCTAAGCTTTTGATTATTCGAAAATCCCTAGAAGGAGAGTTTTAAGCTCTATATACTTAGACCTAAATCTCACACAAAATGACGTTGTATTTCTGGTTAATATTTACTTAGACGAAGGATATACATAGATATAGAGTATAATATGTGATTTGGGCGAAAGCAGCCATAATTCTTTTTCTTTTGTGACTATAGTTGAGTATTCTCATTCCTCCTAAACGTTTTAACTTCCTTTTTACACTTGTAACCAAATGTACATCCTCGTTAACCACATGGAGAAAACAGTACTTAAGTTGTATCTTTAATTCTCTTACAATCCGGACTAGAAATGCCTATTTCGACATATTTAGTTTATAGGTTACTTTGAGGACTTTAGTTTTTATTCACCAAGTAATATTTCAACATTGTAAGATATTTAGGAATAACATCACACATGAACCTAAGTTATGCTACTGTAATTACTAATGGATGTACTTGTTTCACTTTATCATTGTTTACAAAAAACACAAAAAATTACATTGTAAGTATTATAAAAATAGTTAAATTTATATTTTTTTGGAGCCATGCTGTTGTTTTCCTCGAACAAAGCTTCACACTGGGCTACCTGCACTCTGTCCACAGCGGGGAATCGAATTATCGATATTAGCATTGTAAGACTACAATCTTACTGGTGACCCACTTGGGGACATTGGAACAATGAAAAATGTATAATGTAACACTTAAGGTTACTAATTTAAAAATATATATTCTACAATTGCATTACTCGATTATTAAAAGTGGAAATGAAATAAAAAGTTAAAATACATAAAACAATTAAAAGATATTTAGAAGCAAATATTATATTGTCTGAAAGACCAACCAGTAAATTAGACTATATTCGTTCATTTGACTGGATAAATACACAAAATAACATATGTCTTTTAAGATGTAGAAGTAATTATTTGGAAAAATTAAATCGGTTAAGACAATTTAACAAAGAGATGTTTATAGATCAAATAGCTTTCATTGTGGTATAAATGTATGGAGCTCCTAAGGTTTATAAAGATAGTTGTCTAGTTAGACCGATTGTGTCTAGCACTGGTACATATAATCACGAACGTGCTGATTTTTAGTTAATTTTTGGAGTTATTAACTATTAATGATTATATTCTGAAAGAATATTTTGAGTATTCTCAATCAATACTAAATTAGAATTTGGATAATGGAGTTTGCTATGCTAGTTATGATATAGAGTCTCCATGCCATAACATTTCTGTAGACGAGACTATGAAATTATGTACTAAACTTCTATACGGAGTGAAGGTCGTGAAATGAGATTTACAAAACATATGTTTCAGAAACACGTAATTTTTGTTTTCAAAGAGTCCCGTTTCCTATTCTACAATGATATATATGACCCAGTTGATGATGTTGCTTTGCGATATGGATTAGCTCCGTCACTCGCTAATTTGATCACGTGTCATCATGAAAGGCATTAGCGTCAAGAATGTCATTCTTAGTTTAAACCAATATGTTACAGAAGATATGTCAGTAATATTTTTATTATTTTTAAAGATGCTCAATATGTAAATACTTTTCTAAATTACCTTAATAGTTGGTATCCTAATAATACTTTACATTTGAATGTCAACAAAACAATTTACCTCCATTCTTAGACTTCTTTTTATTCATAATAAAGATGGACAATTTAAGTGTCAAGTATTTCATAAGAAGACTTTCACGATCATTTTGATAGTCTATACATCAGATTTTTAAAAGAAAAATCTGGTTAAAATGATAGTTCATCGACCATATAGGTTAACCAGCAAGTATGAATTTTTACATAAAGATCTCGAAAATACCAAAAAGTTCTTAATAAAAAATGTCTTTACTATATGCATTATAGATTATATTTATGACTTTATAAATGATATCAAAGATCCTACATAGCCAAACTTGAATGCTGCTAAACACAACCTATGCTTAGCATTGCCAAATACGGATAAACAGTTTATTTGGATTAAAAATAAATTACGTTCCCTGATTGTAGGTTACAACATGTTTTCAAATTCAAGAATCGATCACATTTATTGAAAATTTCAAATGTGGTATATAGATATAAATGCCGTAAATGCTATGCTGGATTCGCCTCCAGGTGGTTTCTAGTCCGCAATACAAGAGCGCGCACATTTAAAATCTTCGTCCTTTCCTAGTATTAAGAACCATGAGTGTAATCTTATCTGTGGTTGTGCGTGTGTCTCCTTATAACAGGTGAACCGTTGGATTAATTATGACTAATCTGATGTGTACCTTAGGGCCCTCCGTAGAGTGACATAGGGGTTTAAGTTCGGATCCGGCTCCCCTATGTCAGTTTTGGGAGCCCCCATGTTTTCCTCGTGTGTTGAACAAGTATGTTAGCTAGTGAACCTATAAATAGTGAACACTTTAAAATCACCCCAAAAGCAAATAATAACCTACACACAAAGCTTAAATTAACATAGGAGTACATTTTGTTTATTACTTTATTACTAATTCTATGAGCGTTTATGTTACTTCTATCTTGACAGTATTCTATTTGGGTATATTATACTTTCTTAGTATCGAATATACTAATTTTTATTCCATCTATTTGTCCATATTTACGTATACAAACATAATGTGTACGTGTCACAGATAATGTAATAAAGAACGATAGCCCATTGTGTAGCGTTGCGCTTAAACACAAAACAAACACGTAACCATTTCAGCTATACATAAATTAATGGATTATTAATGTTGTGCTGCATTACCAGTAGATGCTTGACAAATATGTTTCATTGTTGATAGCACTGTTTGAATGCATGATCGAATACATCACTGCAAAAAAGAAAAGAAAAGAAGAAAAAAAACACTATATTATTGCCGAAGCACCGAAGTACACAGTGATATCGACTGGATTTCTGTGCTTCACCCTAAAACACCTATGATTGTTTAGAATTATTTAATATGACATTTTCTAAAATGAATCATAGGTTGGAGTTTCAATTTTTACAGTTTTTTGGCTGTTTCTTATATGACTTACACATGATACATGATAAACCAGCAGAATGCAAGCCTTACGCAACCTACGAGTTATAGAATCATTGAGAATACAAATATTTTAGGCAACCTTAAGGAAAATTTTTTTCTGTGGCCAAAATGACCATAATAACTTGGATAATTCAAAAATCATCACTAACGAACAAAATACTATTAATTGTTTAGTGGGAGTATTGAAACTAGCGAACATCTCGTCTTACAGACAGTAATTCAACAGTGGGAATGGGAAAACTAAGACACACACAAAAAAATTAATCATTGAATGTTTACCTTCATTTTAAAAATTTCACCCCAAATTCGCATTATAATAAGGTTAAATTTGTGAACTTAGTAATCAGCTATTTAATGTTGGTCTCTGATGAACGTATGTATCAACGTAAACCCACAAAATTGCGTTTGACTACTCCAAGGAGGTAACTCAAAACTCTAAGGATAGTAACTGATGGATTTGGCGATACTCGAACCAAAACTGAGAAGTAGATAATGAGCAGACAGAGAGGAAACATAGTATGTATTATGATAAGATTGTACTGATCATAACAGTTAAGGGATAATAAGAATTTTTTATACTTCATTTATGACAATGTATTACTACTGTGAGTAAGTAATAGTAATGACATTTCTGAGTTAAGTTTTATTCAATACAATTAATTGTGAGGTGGCTTGTCATGTGATCGAACGTGTACATTTTAGTGGCGTATAAAAGTGAAGAAAACACAGCGTTGAATAACAGCCGAGAATGTAAAGAGATCCAAACTGACAGGGAAACATGCCAGGGTCTCAACACAATCATTTGGACAGTTTCGTGATGTGGAGAGTAATAGATCATTTAGATGCCGATCAAACATAATTCGTTGTAGAGTGGCCACAAGTCTTGCAAAGTGTGGTTAACAAGATGTGTACTGAGTTCCATGTTACCAATACAGATTGATCGGAGAAATGGAAAGCGTAAATCATCGACAGTAACCCTGAAAAAGGCCCACTGTTTGAAATATGGGTTAAAAGCAGCCAGTGAGTTTCGGTTTCCGCCTGAAATAACAGTTCAGAGCAAAAGCTTGATGATGGATCAGCATCAAGCAGCCATAAACAGGTTTTATAGGGTTGGCCTTTATGTCTCTCAAGCCTCTCGCCATATAAGCAGCTCGTTTTAATTAGTGTGAAGAACGCATAGAATGATCAAACGACATATGAGCAAATATTCTGTTCACAAACGAATCATACTCACACGGCAGCCAGATGCGAGTGTGTACATATTTGGAGGGGGCCTTGGACCACATCTAACCAAAATATTACAGAGGAAAGACAAGCATAGTGACATACTGGCCTGGGCAGATGTCAGTATTAGTTGCTACACTGCCCTCAATTTGTTACGACATAGTAAAATGAATAAAATACAACATAGGGACGTAGTCATACAATTATTAGTATTGCCATGTAAAGGTGCGATTGGTTGGAACTTTCTTATAATGAATGACAACGCTTTCTCTAACAATGTGATGAACTAGTTAGCAACTTACTGAAATAAGAAAGTATAAAGCAATGAACTGGTGCACTGGATGTGAATCCAGCTGCAAATGTATAGGATGTTAAGAGTAAAAAAAACACACACAAAAAACG